TTTAGCTGCGGTGTAAGAGAAACTTCGCTGTCCAATGTATGAACTTAATTTGGGAATTACCAACGTACTCTTATACCGAGTTCCGTAATTATTACTGAAATGTGTGAATATATTAAATAGATATTTCGGTTTTTGATATTTAAGAATTTTGTGAGTTATATTCAGAATATGCAAAGAATGTAATTTTTTGATATGCAGCCATTTTGATTCTTTGAATTTCTGTGAAATATGTTGTACAGTTGTTTCGAGTTGGGTTCCCAGACACGTACAAGAAAATTAGATCTTATGCGGACAGGATTATTGATATTATTTATTCGATATTATACATAAGAATTAATTATCTGGGAAATTTTTCGTTAAATGATGGATTAGAATTTAATGTGAATGCAACTCTTCTTTAATAAAATAAAATTAATAAATTATAAAGGTACCTGGGTGCGGTAGACTACAATACACTAAAGTACTTATTTCACTCTTCACCACATAATAAATGTATTGCTTTACAGGAAAAATGAGATCTATCAAAAGTAAATGATATCTATATCGTTGAGAGATTCCTGTTATTTATCCTTATCCTGAAAACCTATAAATGGTAACGGTCCTTATTTATAGTAAAATTGAAATTAAAAATCCCCAAATACGATTTTCAAAATTACTGTTTATTTTCGGATAAATAAGAAGTATTTTAAAACTAAATTATTCTAGAAATGTTTTTTTGCGTACAGTCACAATACTATAGAAGTTTTAGGGAGTAAATTAATAATTAATCAACGCTAATAGCAGTTTATTTAAACGTGGGCAAGACAAAAATATATTTAGAAAGTTATTTTTCAATCGAACCTATCAAACTTGAATTTAATGGTTTTCTAATAGGACCTAAAATTAGCACAGTTATATATACCGCTAATTCTTCATTAATAACTATCGAATTATCTACATTGTTTGCAAATTCGGTATACTTAAGTGTTATTATATTGTTTTTTAAGTCTCAGATGAAACAGATAGTTATTGTTGGCAATATTTTTTTCTTAGCAAGTGGGTGTTCACAAACATTGGATGTGATGGGTGGATATAGGCCAGTGTTACACATACAAAAGGTGTATGTAACGAATTATAAAAAATTATAATATAGATAGATCTATATCGGTTAAAATAAGAGTGAATGTCATTCCAAAACAGAAAGTAACATTTAGAAAGTTATTTTAGTAGAATAATAAAAATATTTTGTTTACATTATAATCAATGAATAATTTGGCCTAATTCCCTTATTTCTAGCTTAAATATTTTACATGATAAAAGAGTTTAATGTCCTTATAAATAATATATGATTAATTAAAATTCTAAAATGAAAGTAAATGAGCCCACATATATACTAAATAATAGATCGATACAAAAAAAAACACCTCTACATATACGAAAAATCCTCATTTTTAGAGGTTCTTTCATCCTTAGAAGTATTGCTCAACAATTTTGGTTGACCTTGTATATTAAGTCAGTAAAAGAAAGATATATAATTTGTCGAATCTAAATTCAGTTGCAAGCGTACAAAAGGCAATTTACCTACTTCAATAAACTAACGATAAAAAAGTTTTCCTCCTTAATGGGCTGAAAAAGTGAAGGAAAAACTTTTTATTTTCACCTTTTCAAAACATTTGATTCTTTATAAAAGTTTTCACTTATTTCAAAACTAATAATAATCCAAACAGAAGTTAAATATCTCTTTGCTTTAGTGAAAAAATAATGACAAAAATGTAAAAAAAATAAAAAATGTTATAGGACAAATGGTACACAAAGTACACATAGCAAAGATTGCTTGTATACCAGCAACAATTTACACATCGATTTTTTCACAGAGTTCATTTTGTAAAGGAATTTCATTGGCAAAAACTAAGAAATTTATATATTATAAAAGTCATAAAAATTTGAATTCCGGTGGGTTGTAACCAAGATTTTTAAAATATTATAACTAATTGAAATTATCTTGTTTAAACAAGTATAACAATTTTACATAAAAAATATGTTTACATAATATTTACTAATCAAATAACAATAAAAGTTTCTTCAAAAAAGATATGATATAACTTCATAATTAATAATCGCATATGTGAAATTATAAATGAAATAATATACTTTTTTAAAGTTATGGATGGCTCTTTGCCAGTTTTGATAACGATTTATGAATGTGTTGTGAAATTATTGTCAAAATCAAAGAATATTTCAACTATAACACACTGTATCTTTTTATTAGGACATGTTTGTTCCAATCTATACGTAGAATCATTGTTATGACTCATCCTATATATAATTTGCAGTTACTAAATTTCAACGCTCGGTTAGAGTAGAAGGTGTTTCTGTAATAGGTTTTATCAAGTCAGCTATGGATTTCGTACACAACAATACAACCAATGACATAAATGACTTCAAAATTACAAAATGACTACTTATAAATTCTGCAATGAGTTTATATTATACCTTTCTAAAACACTGAAAGGTTGGTCACTAGCCGCCACTGGTTATCTTCTTTTTCATTATAAATATGAAAATCAGTTTCTTTACAATTATTTGTATTTAAGGTAAAAAACAATATCTGCCAGATAATGATGACACCGATATAAAAAAAATACAGAAATATAAAAATAAACCGCCCATAAATAATAGTAGAGTGCACAAGAATAGTTTTTTTGCAAATCCTTAAATAGAGAACAACAAATGCAAAAGATGTGCTGGTTCTATTTGGATTCTTTCGATAAACATCCTTCCATTTTCAGAATTTGCCATTTATTTTTTTTAGCGAATTTCTGTAAAAAAATATTTCGTGGCAAATTTTTTGATTCAATCGGTAGCACGATATGAATGATCTGAGCTCATGTTTATTTTGTTCTGATAATAAGGAGGTTTGATCTCAGAATGTATGTCTTTAATTTACAATATACTATCTTAAGAGGTATGTTCCAGAATTAAATGGACTAAGAATTTTTTTAAATTTTTAAACCATTTTTAGTACATTTATAATTTGTTTTAAAAGTGTCTTAAAAGCTTTCTTTTGTTATCCTCAAAATATCTACGATAAGGTCAGAGAACATAATGTCTAACTATGCCGATATTATATTATTTTCATTTAGTAATACCTATTCGAAAAATTAAACATCTCCAAAAATGTAAATGTTTCATAATGTATTAAAAAAAACTTAAACAAAGCTGACGTATCAAAGGATTGATATAGACATAATAAGATGATCACTAATGTTGTCCAAAAGCATTATAATCGGGAAAATCTACTGGAAATAATGGATATTATGGAGAAGTGGAAAGAACAACAAATGGGCCAGGGAATGAAGGAGAATTAAGCGGCTTCAAATGGTCTTTTGATTTAAAATAATTCTTTCTTTTTCTGAATTTATATTATGTTGGTTTAAAACTATCAATATATAAAAACGAGGCGTCGCTCTACCTTCTTTCCGCTTTTTTACCTATACCTAACCTTTAACCTCAATTTTTCTTTGTTTGTTACATCAATATAAATAAAACTCTTCATCAAAAAAGTTGAGGGAATAGGGACAGCCCTCAAAAAAAATACGATGTCATTTGTGGTAGGATTAGAGTGGTTTTTACCCTTCCATGGTTTCAGTTGGTGTAATTTTTACTTTGAATAATTTTCTCATGGTTGACAATAATTCTATTAAAACATAGCAGTTAATAGTAAAAGTAATGCTTTTATTTTGTTTATACCATATTAATAGATTGGTGTTCCGGATGTCTCAAGATGCCTTCATACATTAGATAACAGAATACTCTGTATTTTCCTTATTTAGAGCAATTATTTAATAATCGTGATTATTTAGAGCGTAGGAATTCATTTACTTTGTTTATAAAATTAATAATTCCATTCTAAATATAAGTAAATATTCTAAAAATAGAATCCATAATATTGTAATTGTTATGTAAATATATAAATACGCTTAAATCGTAATTATATTTATTAAGTGTTTTACGTCTGAGGTTATGAAAACACAAAATTAATTCAAAATCAACAAGTAAAATTTAATAAGATCGAACTAGTAGTATTATTTATTATTTTTGGATTTTCGACCAGATGCAGGAATCTTGTTGTCTCAACATCTGTTCTCTCTTATTATTTGTAAATTTATTTTTATTAATTATTAGTTCTATTCGATTTAATTCTGTCATCACAGATACTCATTTTTTTTTAATGTTAACAGAGGTTAAAAACACGATCAGTTATTCGTATTGGGAATCCCTGTTGTAGATCCCCTATATAGGTGTTATTGATCTTTTTTACAGTTCCTAATGATTTAGGAATGTTTTCGTTTTAAATCGATGAAATGTCTTCTTTTGGAACGGTGATTAATTTAGGAGATACGTCTGATACAAAAATAGGTAGACAACACTTTTTCATCTAAAAATACAAGTTGGGGTCATAACCTCAATCCCCAAAATATAACTTTTAGATTATACACAGGTATAAAATTTTCAATAAGGAAACTATACCTTACAATGAGTTGAACAAGGGCGTCGATTCTCGAGATAATTTCCAATAGAAAATAAGTCAATTTTCTATGAAAATCTAGTTTTGATATTATTGACTCCCAGCCACTTCTGCACTTGGAGGTAGCACCTTGCTGCATGGTGGCCTGCAGCATCTTACGTCGGTGGCAAATGGGCGAAGTTTATGCTCGTTGAAGTGACAAACGTCTTATACCTCAGGAAATTAAAAGTATCCCTCGCAGTGTTACCCCCATATAGAGCTATGAGCACTTGATGCCGGCTTGTGGAGTGGAGTCTGTCCCAAGAAGAGCTCCACTTGCTTAGCAAGCGGTTCACTCTTGCTCAGGAGTATGGTGATTTTGGTCTTTCCTTGGCCAAACGATGCCGAGGTGGTATGGCTCCCGGTAAACGCGTGGGTATTACGTACCGTCCCTGGTAATAGCGGGGAGTTCTGATGGTTGTAGGAGGTCGTAGTGTAGTGACAGCAACCAGCTTCACCCTTCGTGTTCTTCAGCGCCTAAACCATTGAGAAGAGCAAGCAGATCGACGTCTTCTCCCACTATGACGACCATATCTTCTACTGCTCTTTTTGAAAGCGCCATCATAACGATCTCTCGATCCGCAACTTCTTCGGATACAGTTACTTTTACTTCCTTTTTCTGAAAGGCGTCACAAAGAAGAGTTATTAAACATCTCTTGTTGTTCTCATTGCCCAATACATGCACTTGAGCAATTTGAACTACTATGGATTCATCGATCGTCAATTCGTAGCTGGAATGAGCTGCGTAGCGCCGGAGTCGTTCCGCTGTTTTGGTGTTTTTTCTTCTAGCTTCTTCGGGATAGTCGTCAAAGACGATGGAGACGTTATTTCCAAAGTGGTTACGAAGGTGCTCGAACTGTGCTCTTTCGCTGTTACACGACCTTGTAGATTCAAGAAGAATTGTACCGTGGGAACAAATAGCTGTACAGAGCTCGTTCTATTATCAAATTATAGCAAATTTAGTATTTTTTAAAAGTATGTGGAGTTACTGTACCGGTCAGACCCTTCCTTCATTGAGATATTAAGTAAAAACTGAAAAAAGTTGAAAATTTCATGGTTTTTATGATATACACAGAACTTTTAAAATTGCAAATCTAGTTTTTTAATATTGTCCTAACAACATATAAAATATTCAGAATGACCAGACCTTTTGCAAGCACGACCCCCTTTTCATGTTTAACCTTACTGAACTATTAGCAAATATACCGGATAACAGTGTTATTGGATAATGCAAGCTATCATAAAGTGACAAATAGTGCAAATACTAAATCAGAAATTCAATACATCCAACATATTCCATTAAATACATCAGGATTACCCAGCCCTGATTTCATTAATAATTAAACAATTAACTTTTCAATAATAATTAATCCATTCAATTACCAATCATAATTAAATTAATAATCCAAATATAAAAAATAATAACTAGCGCGCGACCCTGCCGCGAATTAATTAAAAGCTCCGAGAATAATAAGTTTCAATATATCCATGTTTTTAAAAATGTGCAGTTAGTGCAATTGGTAAGCGTTCTCAATACTCGGAGCCACATGTGACCATGTTTTCAGAAGATTCAAAAGACTATTAGAAGGGAGGGATAAGCATACATACTAAACAACACAGAAGATGTGATCTACATTTTAATAAACTTGAGGCATTTATGAAATGCAATTACTTATTTACTGTTCTTGTTAGCTCAATTAATGTAAAGGGTGTCCCAATAAGAACTTTAATTTTGAATCGCGCGCCATTTCCGTCTGTCGAATATCAAGTGGGCCATATTAGGTATGTGTTCCGTCAAAACATTGACATTAACGAAAATGCTGCGTTATACCCTTGAAGAACGTTTATTAATTGTGAAGACCCATTACAGAAATGGAGACAATTTTACAATGACAATGCGCAGGTAACGTAAACATTTCGGTGTACACAATCGTCCATCGCGTCCCGTTATTGAAAATTTGATCAACAAATTTGAGCGTAAATTTGAATTAAAAGACGAGACAAGTGTTAGGTGTCGTCGTCTAGGAAAGTCTGCTGAAAACATCGCCGCCGTAAGAGCCAGTGTTAATCAACATCCAAACACTTCCATCCGACATCGCGGTCAGGAATTAAATATCAGTTGCAGTACATCACAACGAATTTTGACGAAGGATTTGCATCTTCATCCTTACAAAATACAGTTGACGCAAGAGATGAAGCCAGCCGATCATAGACAGCTCAGAAACTTTTCGAATTGGATATTGGAACAATACGGAGTTGACGATGCATTCCACAATAAAATTATCTTTACTGATGAGGCCATTCTGAACGGCTTTGTGAATAAACAGAACTGTCAGATTTGAGGGGAAGAGCACCCACATGCCGTACACAAGCTTCCAATGCATCCTGAAAAAGTGACAGTTTGGTGCGCTATTTGGGTGGGAGGGATTATTGGACCTTATTTTTTTTTTAAATAATGAAGGTGTCTCCGTGACTGTTATTGGTAATCGCTACCGTAGCATGTTGAGAGACTTTCTTTGGCTGGAAGTGAATGGAATGGACATAAAATAACTTGTGGTTTCAACAGGACGACGCGACCTGCTACACCGCACGTGAAACAATGACGTTACTGCAAATAAAATTCCCAGGTCGTGTCATCTCTCGATTTGGAGACCAAAACTGGCAGCTGAGAAATTGCGATTTGACGCCCTTAGTCTACTTCCTCTGGAGGTATTTAAAAAGTAGAGTGTATAGGAACTATCCTGAGAGGATTCGACAACTGAAGGAAGAAATCGAACGTATTATTCGTGAAATCCAGCCGATTTTGCTCGAAAACGTCTTCCAAAATTTTGTCCAACGAATATACACCTGTATATTTTATTTCATGTTTAATGTCAACATTTTCTCTTGAAAATCCAATAAAATATTTGCATATTTTTTTTTATCTACTGTGTTTTCTTTGTCATTAAAAATTCAAGTTCTTGTTGGGACACCCTTTAGTTACTAAGTGAATGTTTTTCTGGGAAAATTAATACGACTTGTAAAATTTAATCTTAACAAACTTTGTGATACTTCATTGTTAAATTTGAAATGGTTTCAACGTTTAATAAATTGTGATAAGTAAAATATGAACTCTGAATTGAAATACGTCATCACAAACCTTAAACCATCTGTGAATCAAAGTATTAGTAAATCAAAAAATAAAGAGACAGTATAAGAATCACTTTATATCAGATAACTTTAATTAATGGTATATAGTCCCACTATGTTTGGCCAACCATGGCTGTATTTAAAAGGTGTATTATAAGCTTTTAGACCCTTTGTATTACAATATTTATTTCAAAGAATGCTACAGAAAGCTAAGTATTAGCAACGTTTGACATTAAACATGAAGATGTGCCAAACAGTACTACGGCTTTCACTATATTTTTAACCCTATAGAACACATTTTGCATCAGATAAAATCCAGAATTAAATTCGAAAAGGTTTCGGTAACATTAAATGCAATAACAGTCAGTTTATTTCATAGTGTCGTCTATTTTAAATAAAGGGGTTTCATGACTTGTGGGTACCAGGGCACAAAGGTATCCAAGAAAATGAAAAGGCTGATGAACTCGCCAAAAAGAGAGCAGAGCTACCATTCACAGGACCTGAACCTGTATTTGGGATTAGCAAAAACCTCTGCTCGACAGACAGTGAACAGGTGGATAATCACAAAACACCAAATTCACTGGCAATAGATAAGAGGACACAGAATCAGTAAGGTCATGCTAAGGGGATGAAACCCACGCATGGCTACTGAGGCACTACAATTCACAAGGCCTCAGATATCCACCATTGTGGGATTACTAACGGGCCACTGCTTGCTGAAACACCTTCATGTGATGGGATTACACAATGATCCCACTACGTGTAGACTCTGCATGGAAGAAGAGGAAACCTTATACCATGTGATCTTCGAATGCAAAGCTCTTATTAGGCGACGTTTCATCCTTTTCGGCGTAGAACTGGAAAGAACGCCCAGGAACACTTGGTAGGGAACTTATTAAAACTAACCAAAGACACAGGACTATTCCAAAGATAGTACCTGAATACGGGGAAAGCAGGGGAATACAATACAATAAACCCAAGAGGCCGCAGTGTTCTGGGCCAAACCTAACCCTACTTGCTTACAACCGACAAAGATAAAGATGACTTGTCAGTCAAACTGCTTCAGCGATACTGAACAAATAATAAACGACAATATATTTTCATTAAAAATTATAAGTTTATTTGTACTTTTAGTTAAAGTGAAAACTATTTCTACTTTTTCTTCATTTTAGCGGATCATTATCGAATAATGAATACAAACGTAATATATCCAGTGATTTGTTGAGATTTGCTAGCTTCAAGTTTTTCTTCGTTCACTTAAATGATATATGATTAATCATGTGCTTCTGCATGATATCCTCTGCCTGACCCATTATCTACGCCGATTTCTTCAGTTCTGATTTACCAAATACTTTGTAATTCATTTGCTAATTGTAAATATACTACACGAACAACTGATTTTGGTTTTGTTTCAATAAGCATTTTATGTGTTTGATTGAGACTACTGATGGTCCGGAGCAGCTGATGTAACTATCCAGCAAAACTTGAAATGTGATAACAAACGCAGTTGATTTTTAATTTCATTAATAATGAATTAGTAACAATGATTGATTCAAACTGACTAGTCAAAACACCTCTTAAATATCTTATTATAGGCTTCTTGGGTGATGGTAAACTATCATCAGCTATTGTTTTTCTCTGTAATAAAGTCGATTATCTTTTACAGTTTTATAGTAGTTTTCCTTTTAAATCGTAAACATTTTTTCGTGGTCCGTTATTAAATGAGGTGATAAGAAAAATAGGTGAACTTATCACGCATTTCGACTAAATATACGCCGTTCTTAAATCAACCAGTTAATCATTTCATTGACGTTAATTTAAATAACGTATTTAAAATTCACCGATACGGTAGATTCTTATCGAAATTTTTATTAGCATATCCTTCCTGTTCACGCTCGTTCCATTCATATAATTTCTGACCATACATTGATAAGATAATTCGTTAATAGGATTTTCCTTTAAGCACACGCACTTTCTAAGATTTTAATAATTTAATCTATCTATTAAAGCGTCAACAGAAAAAAAAAAGATAAATGTAAATTGTTTTACCTCTAAATAGAAATTACGAAAGTCTTCATGGGTTTATCTGCATGTCAGATTAAATGGGCTTCACTTCTTCACATCGAAATCATAAAAGAATGATGTGAACTATACGATATGATAAGCCAACGTTCTCAACGATTTGTCTATTATGCACACATCGATCTTCAAGTACTAAATCATGGACTTTTCTAGTGTTTTCATCCGTAGTCACAGTGATTTTTTGACATGAATTTACAGCATCATAATATAAGAAACTAACCTAATGTTGATATATCTTGATGAATTGCAGTAGGCGTTATACTTTTTTGTGCAAATATTTTATTACCGTTCATTGTTCAACTGGTTCCATAATCTTACTATTAGCCTTTAATTTTAGTTTAGACTTGGTCCCTTTATTTTTTCCAAAGATTTTGGGGGTAAAAATTGGAAAAAGAGCAAAACTACGGCTCGCTCCAGGCTTGCCAACATTTCAAAATATTTCGGGATATACACAAAGTGTGATCCGATTTCAGCTCGAAGGCCGTACCCTAATCCAAAATGGTTAAAATTGTAAAAAACAACAATTTTTTTTTTATATTTCAAGCAAAAAATAATTCATTTTATGTAAATCATTACATGATTTTTCCATGCCGTTTTGTAGCTTGTCTTTCAAAAAATCAAATTACCAATTTTATAAAAGCTACAATACAGGTATATAGTCCAAAAATAAAAATATAAACACCGTTAAATATTAATAAAATATTAGATTTTTTTAAACTAATGTACGAACTGCAGCAGTATATTTTCTGTTAGCTCGATTGCTCATTCTGTGACGTTACACCCTTCCTTAGCAACGGACGGAAGAGGCCACCGTGTTGTCTACGAACTGTGGCAATTTTATGACACTTTCTGACATGTCAATTTACGACAAATTAATCATTTATAGCGAGGTAAGGGTTGTAAATGTATATTTAAGATTCATTATCTCTAATAATAGGGCGACAACATGCTGTATGTGTAAAAGACCTGTTGAAGAGGCTTTTTTCAGGATTATATCATAAGTAAGTATAATAAGTAGAAACCTTAGATAAAAGAGACCAGAGATATAACATACACCGGTGTTTAACCTGCGCAAATATTGCCAATTTCTAAAGAAAGGTTAACGGAGTGGGGGTACTGGGCGGAGACCCGAACTCTGTGACAGGGACGGCGTTTGTTTATTAGCATCATAATGAACTATTAGACTTACTTAAAAGATGTTTAATGTAATTTTGTATTATGAAATAAAATTAACGTGATTTTTTAATATCAAACAGACGCCACGACATTTTATGTAAAGAGAAGACCTTTTATAGAATATTTCGATAGCGTTTATTTACTACGGACTTTTCTGCAAGAGACTACAGTAAAATAATGAAATAGAATATTGTTAATCAAGCAAGAAATGGTACTCATTGTCTACGAGTATTATAAAAAAGCATGTGCGCAAGCGAATACTGCAAGTCAAGGTTGAACATTAAATTTTTTCTACGGCTATTACAATATATTAAAAATTTGTCAAAATGAGAAAATGCTGTTTTGTATTGTAACCTCAGAAAAAGGTATATTAAAACTTCTTTCTTTAGGAATATTAATTAATATAGAGGATGAGACATAAAACTCTAGAAATACATATGTCTGAAACCAGATAACATTTTAAAATTTAAACCTATTAAAAGTCATTTGGTCGCTAAGGGTAGGTGATTATCGAAATAAATTATCGATCATTGAAAATAATCGATTATTTTCAAACAATCTATTTTTTTCGTATTTCCTTTAAAATCGACTACTTGATTATGTTTAAAAAATCAAAAATAAACAACAATTAAAAAGCCAATTAACCGACAAATTAGTGTTTACAGAAAATAATAAACGGATTACCGTTTATTTTAAATAATCCATTATTTTCAAATAATCTATTTGTTTTCGTGTCCATTCAAACAGATTATTCGATAATCTTTAAAAAATCGAAAATAATCGATTAATTAAAAATAATCGAATAATTAAAAAGTCGATTAACTGGTAAATAAATAAACCAAATCATCGATTATTTTAAATAATCGATTATTATCTATCAATCGATTATTATCAAATATTGTATTTTTATTGTATTTCCTTTAAAATCGATTATTCGACTATCTTTTAAAAAATCAAAAATAATCGATTAATAAATAACGAATAAATCGATTTCCATATAAAAATAACAGAATAATCGATAAATCAATTATTTTTATAACCTCTATTGGTCGCTTGCTTTTATCCGAGCATTTAACTCCAAAATTTAGACATTCGGATTTTTTAATCCCGTTATCTTTGAAACTGCATTCGATTGTATAATAAATAATAAATATTGCTAGAATTTAGATTTTTTTAGTAAACGAAAATTGATTTCGAGTTGTTTAGAGGCTTACAATGTAACATTTTATTAACAATGTGACTAATTCCCGTAACTTTAGTATTTTTTTTGCTTATACTAGATCATATTGTAAGTTTTACTTTATTTTAAGACTTATTTAAATGTCACATCCGACTTGACCGCAAATAAGATGAACCGTGAAATTTTAAGTAGGTCATCCTGTATTTCATCTAATATTCTTATAAAAATACTTTATAAAAGTAAAATTTCGTTAGCAACTATTTTTCTTTACTTCTTATTTATCTATCAAAAAGGGCTAAAAACCACCTTTAGTAAATATTCTTACAAAACTACTTTTTAAAAACAAAATTTCATTAGCAACAATTTACTTCTTATTTAAATTGAATGTTAAAAATTTTGCCTTTTTGTAAAGTAAGTATTATGAAATCTGTTAATGCGGATCTGAAGTATTCAGCCCACAGGCGGATTTATGTCAAAACGTTAATAAATATTTACCGCTGAAAACAAATATATTTCTTATTTCTCATAACATTGGCACTTATATTATTTGTACATACAATTTTTCACGACACATCGTGGCATTTTCAATTTGAAATTGAATAACTAGAACACTTTAAATTGCTAAAACACTAACAAATAATTCAAAAAACAGCTGTCAATGGTGATTGAACTCAGGGGGAGGTGAGTATTGTAATAGACATATCGGAGCAATTCGGGTGGCGTCGTGAAACAATGATTTTCAATTGGTGGGTTACTTGGGGTTAAAAAAGACAACATGCGCAGTGTGCAACGTACATATTCGGTCTCTTTTTTCGAAGGTAGAAACGCAACGTAATTTTCAGTGGTGGTGCAATCACTTTTAACTTGCAATTAAACTTTCTTATTTTCTTGTCGAAAAAGTAAAATTAAGAGAGAATCAACCCCAGTTAAGTTCGTCTTTATTCATTTCATAATGATCAAAGGTTAATTATTTATTACCATAAATAAAGAAAGTTTAAACATGTGGCTTTATTTTAATATCACATCTTTGAAAACTTTATTGTTATTTTTTTACTGTAGGTTTTCTTTTATTGATATAAAAATAAAAAATAAATAGTTCCAAAATTTAATGGCCACCCGAGTAAGTTTTTATCCTCTGATCATTTTAATAATGAAGATATTTATTACACACTGGAGGAGAGGAAAATGCAATTTCAGTAAATTTCGATGGAAGAAGTATAATAATCCATCATGTCACTACTTTTTCACGATATTCATTTGTTACTTAAATAACAAGTGAAGCAGAGAAACTTAAGTTTGTTTCAAAAAGGTTGCTTTTTAGTACCTACTTAAGTAAATTGTTAATTTTTTATTTTATGTGCATACAGAGACTGAATCCTATAATTTTTTTTTTCATCTTCTGAACCATCAACAATTTTATTTCAATACCAACAGAATCATCAAGAACTGAAGGGTAATCCAGATTTTTTTTATGTTTAAGAGAAAAGGCAATGCCACTTTTTTGTTGGAAATGTCTAATTTAATTCACTAATTTTTTGCTCTCTCATAAGAGCAAATAAAGGTTTTAGAGTTGTTACGAAAACTATTCAGAACCAAAAACATACAATAGTTAGCCTTCGTGCCCGAAATTTAAAGATATGGCTATAAATATTTGGATATTATGAGTAATTTTTTAATTTCCTATCTTTATACAGATAAGAAAAGTATAGGAATCATGATTTATTTGATCTCGAGTTTTCGATGGATTTTTACGTTTTGGGGTCCCCTGAATCCGTTTTGACCATTTTAGCGATGATGTCTCTTATGAACGGATACAAATTCTAAATTTAAGCTTTAATCTATAGATGTTGAGAACGCAACAGTCGCCTACAAACTCGCTTCACGCTCGTTTTAGTAGAAACTGCTCGGAGCTCCAATACACATAATCTATATTGTCAATGTGACAAATTGTCAAAAGTTAAATCTGACAGACTACTGTAAGGGAGGTGAATGGGATCAACCATTGTAGGTCAGTTGAAGATAAAAAAAAATGTTTATTTTCCATCAAGTAAGGTTCAGTAAACTTCAAATATTTGTAATCAGTAACGAATAACGCGAAAAATGATTAAATGGGTACGTACTTACGTATTTAAAACACATGCATAAGGTTAGTCACGAAGAATATGTAATATGAAAATAATCCTAATGTATTTACCAATTTCTAAATACATAAAATTAATTTTTCTACGATGGTGCAAAAGTTACTACTATATTTATTTTGTTATTCTATTCTAAAAATTAGTAATATTTTTTGTATTTTAAAATAATCCAGAATAAAATTTGAAAACAAATTGAATAGTAGAAGAAAAAGTTGAGTGCAACATGGGCAAAGTGTAATTCCAGCAAACTTAATGCATACATTTTTTACAATAGTTACACAAATATCCATTTTATTTTTGTCACATAACAAGTTACTGGATTTTTTGTATTTTATAAAAATTGTCTTTTTTTCTTCATTCAAAATATCTTTGATAACTCTGCACGCTTCTAGTGTGCAGGGGCGCATATATGGGGGGTAATGAAGGTAATTACACTTCCCCCAAGATTGTACAAACCTAACTTTTTATAAATACTAAAAATGTATTGCAGAAAACTATTGAATAACCAATTGTAGTATTTTTTGTTCAATCTGGCAGAAGCGCTTTTTTACTTTCGTCGGCTGTCCGCCACTCAAAGCGCCTAACTTAGGTTCCCACTCTACGTTGTACATCTCAGAATCTCACTCTTTCTTCGACCAAAAAATTGCTTATATAATTTTGTTTTATTTTGATTTCTACTGAAAGTACTGGATACTGGATCACCAAAGTGATAGTGATACTAAAGTGATACACTGTGTTCATGTAAGGGTTTTACTTTACAGGTATTTTTATGAAGTTTAGTAATTTAGATTTAAGTTTATGTGATTATAATATCTAAAATTTACCATTGTTGCAAATTATTTTTGTTCTTGCACTTGCAGATACTTAGCACAACAGAAATTAGCAATGTGTAAGAGAAAACAGAATACCTTAGACCAGTCGGGGAACCATCTGAGGAAGCGGGTTCGAGTTCGAGTATGGGTAAACAAACCGCCAAAACTAGCGCCGGTAGCAGCAGTGACCACAGCGTTGCCACATTTAATATTTTACATGGTTATAAAAAATCGATAGACATTGCCCCTTTTGTCAATACATCTAAAATAATTACATTGCGGGAAAAATATTCGGTTTTAATGTATTCTATGGTTCCGGATCAAAATTTTACGTACCCGTTTTCAATTCACAGAAAAACTGATAAAGATATTAAATGCTTTTTATCAAAACGACATTTTGACACTTTTTCTTGGCTAACATACTCGCAAGGTCTAGAGGGTATATTTTGTAAATTTTGCGTTATTTTTTCAAAAGTGGGTGGTGTACATCAGTCAACTAAGTTGGGACATCTTGTTACCACTCCACTAAATAAGTATTCCAAACTATTCGGAAAAGATGGCGATTTGATAATGCATGATAAATCGGTCTATCATAGTAAAGCTGTTACAGAGGGACATAATTTAAAGAAAATTTATGAAAACCCAGAGATAGATGTAAGAAATACATTAGATCAAGAAAGACAAAGGCAGATTTTAGAAAATAAACTTAGATTGAAACCAATTATCGAGTCAGTAATCTTTTTGGGACGACAAAATATTGCTTTTAGAGGTCATAGAGATCGAGGATCCCTTGTCGTTTCCGAAGGTTCTTCTAAAGATGAAGATAGGCTTGTAAATAATGAAGGTAACTTTCGTGAATTAATTAAATTTAGAATAGAGAGTGGCGATGTTGTATTAAAAAATTATTTAGAAAACACTTCATCTCGTGCAACCTATATTAGTAGTTATATGCAAAATGAAATAATTGAATTCTGTGGTGAGGAGATTTTAGAAACCATTTTACAACGAGTAAATAGAAGTCAATTTTATATTTGACGAAACCACGGACATAAGTCATAAGTCACAAATGTCAATAATCTTAAGATACTGTTACTAAAATTGTCTGTACGAAGATTTCGTAGGTTTTATTGATTGTCATGCAATGTTTGATGAGGACACATTAGAACCAACAGTTAGTGGTAAAATTTTGACTCAAATCTTATTTAATTTTATTAAAAAAAATAATTTAAATCCCGATAAGTGTATAGGAATTGGAACTGATACTTGCAACTTAATGCTTGGTGAACAAAAAGGAGCCGTTACTGAATTAAAAAAAATTAACTAATGCACTTAACAGTCCTTGTGCCAGCCACTCATTAAATTTATCTATTTCAAAAAACCTCAAACGTTAAAGGTGTTAGAAATGCCGTTGGCGTTATAAAAGAGGTAAATGTATTTCTTAAAGCTTCCGCAAAAAGAAATTTTCTTCTTAAGCAAAAGTTAGATGGCCATCGTCAGCTTAAAAGTCTTTGTGAGACCAGATGGGTTGAACGTCACGAATCTGTGCTTCAGTTTCAGTACTATTCAAATCATTGTAGACCTTCTTTATATTATTTCCCACTGAAAAGATCGGAACGCCTCTTCAAAAGCAGAATGTTTATAAAATGCTATAGGTTCCACCGTTTTTATAGTTTCTTTATGCTCTCTGTCTGATATTTTAGCTTTGACTGTAAATTTAAGTAAAATATTGTAATAGAAGTCAATTGATAAATACTATGTTACTATGCTTACACAAAATGTTTTCACCATTTTAAAAGAAAGACGTCGAAATTCTGAAACTTATTTTAGGACCATTTTTACTTTAGTGTCAGATGTTCATAAAAAAATTAGATTAAGAAATTATCAAACAAAGAGTTACTCAGAGACAAACGCATCGCCCCAATATATTTGCAGAAAATAGCGAATCTTATTTTAGACTCCCTTGTTAGATAATATATTGCAAGATCTTCAATTTCGTTTTAACGAGGAATCTTTGAATACCTACGAGTTCAATATATTTTTTCCTTCTATTTTCAATTCAAAAACGGATACTGAAATAAGTCAGTCGATTGAAGTAGTTGCGAAATATATAAGCAAATTTGAAAATAACCAAAACAGAGATTTAATACTTTTAAAATTAAAATCTGAATTCAGTATTTGGAAAAGCGTAAAAAAACGATACAGATGGTATCGGTTTATATTCGTCTTGCGATGAAAATATATTTCCTTTATTAAAAAAATGCCTACAAGTTTTGGTCACTCTACCCGTTAGTGTAGCTTCAGCTGAAATAAGCTTCTCCTCTTGCGGCGCCTTAAAACCTGGCTTCGTTCAACAATGGGTCAGGATAGATTAGTTGGGCTATCACTTCTGTTTATACACAGAGACATTCAAGTAAATGTAGACCATATTATAAGTAGATTTGGAAAAATAGACGACTTGATTTTACGTTATAATTTTTTTCATTTTATACTTTCTGGTCATGCGAGTATTTTATGCCCAAGAAAATATTTTTGTTTATTTTTGTTATGTTTTCATTTATAAGCTTTCGTGTTATTAATGTTTTTAAAATGTGTTTAATATTTGTTATACATGTAAAAGTTGTTCTTTTTAAATTTACTTGTATTATATGTTTTTTGTTTGTTTTGTTTTTAAATTATATCAGAAATTAAGTCAATATTTTTCACTACCCCCCCCCAACTTAAACTCTGGATGCGCCACTGCCAGTGTGAATAAAAAAGTTAAAAGAAGAGCACGGCTCTTGACTTGAAAGGAAGTTACAATGTCGATGATGCTGAATGTTAATGAAAATGGATCCAGTAGTGGCTATTGAGAGATGTCTATGAATAGAATTCAAACAAAAACTCATGATTGAGCATTTTTTTCAAACGCTATTAAAAAATCAATATCGTTACTCATCTTCAGTTGAAAAGCACTATTATAGTTAAGTGTTACAGTTAATTCATGATGTACAGGAAATTGGTTTTCATTCCTTATACAGAAAATTATGCATTTTGCTGTTTAATTTTAAGAATATATTATTGCAACGATCAGAATTTTATTTAATTAAGGCTGATTTGCCGAAAGTCTCAAATACAAATAAATTAATTTGTAACGTAGAAAAATAAAAATAAATAATGCAAAAAAATACTATCTGTAAAACAATATGAGGAAGACGTCATATCGTTTTACGTTGAACAATATTAAACTTTTACGCAATTAAACAATACGAATATTTTGTAATCGTGAATTGTGACGTGAACCATGATTTTATGAATGAAAATGATCCTTTCACAAAAACTGGTGATAAAATTTATTATTCGGCTTGTAATAGTAAATAAATTTTATCAGTCATTTAATTTAATCTATTAACGAGAGATACTTTCAACATTGATTTAATTTATTGCATGTATATACTGGAGTAAAGACTCTCAGTCATGGACATATTGATACATAAGAAGTAGGATTGTTTAAAATAGAAAGGTAAAATTAAAATGCGTAAAAAATCAATGTGGGTTTAAAAAAGAAGATAGGTATTGATAAATACTTAGCCAATTATATGGGGTGATAATTTAAAAACATACAATGGCTACATCTCATGATACAAATAGCATATCAAAAAATGCTTAAAATGCAGAAAAAGATTATCATCTACATTGAAGAAAAACTTTACACTTGAAAGATTATATTTGTTTGAAATTAAGCAGAGTTTGCTTCAAATATTATGTCTGGATACAATAGGAAAATAAATGTTCTATTTTAAGATTTATAATAATTCATCTGAGAATAAATTATTTCATTCGAGTCTAGAATTGTTAATTAATCCAAGAAAGCTCTTACGTTTATTTTTTGATATGCTCTTAAAACCGACTATCGCGTACTTGATTCAATTTTATGAAAGGATTCGATTCAAAGTATTTAAATTTTAGAACAAGAATTAAACAATTCGAATCAAAAACCTATGTACTTCACAAAAATTAGCGAGTACAAATTCACTGCACGGTATTGCCAGCTAAAGCACTGCACTGGTACAGTAGATATATGACTGGTACATGTTGAGATGTGATATTTATTATTCGAAAGTCAAAGACACAACGCATTTATAGAGAATCTGGCAATTGGCATTAGCACGTGTTCATCCTATTGTCCATTTTCTAACAAGTTTGCATCGTATCGTTAAGGTTGCGTTCTACTTTTTGTTAAAAAATTCTTTGTGATTCAATTCGAACACGGAATTTCTTGTTCGTACACGGAATTCCGTATTCAAACACGAAATTCCGTATTCGAACACGGAATTCCCTGTTCAAACACGGAATTCCGTATTCAAACAAGACATTCTTTGTTTGAACACGGAAATCTAAAATTCCATGTTCAAACACGGATTTCCGTGTTCAAACACAGATTTCCGTGTTCAAACAGAGAATTCAGTATAGGAACAAGGAATTCCGTGTTTAAATACGGAATTCCGAGTTTGAATAAGAAATTTCCGTGTTTGAACACAGAATTACAGAATTCTCTCTTCGTATACGGAATTCCGTATTCAAACACGAAAATTAGTAATTTCGTGTTCAAAGGTGGAAATCCGTATTCGAACTATATATTTTAATGGCATATTTACAGAACGTTCTCAAAGGACTTGGGAAATTTGGGGAGAGGGAGGAAAATACGGACGCTCTGACAATCCTTATAATTTGGTCCTAAATACTCTATTAGAACAATTTTATCTTAAATTAACTTTTAAGGTGCTCTTGGAGGCTGGAGGGTAGTGGATGTAAAAAAACGATTCGACACCGAAACGTTCGACCTCCAAAACTGAAAAAGGAGTAGGAGCAGGAGTTTTCGGCCAGAAGCGTAGAGTTGACATATAAATAAACCTAGGCTCTCTAGCCACGATCTTCCAAGCAGAAATGATTGCTAAAGAATTGGGAGCGAGAGAGTTGATTAATTTTCTCCCAGCAAACAAGACTATAAAGATCTTTTCAGGCAGCCCTTAAGGCCCTGAGCTCCAATCAAGTTGACTCAAAGCTGGTTTGGAACTGTATAAATACCCTTGAATGCCTCGGTGCCCGGAACAAAGTTACTTTGATCTGGGTTCCAGGACACAGTGGTGTGGAGGGCAACGTAAAAGCCGATGCGCTTGCTAAAAGAAGAACCGAATCTGTGTTCATAGAACCAGAACCATTCCTGATTCCTGGGCATTGCAAAGAGCACTGCCAAAGGAATTATCTCAAAATAGACGGAGGGTGCAACACTCACGAACTGAGATACCCCAGGGCTAATCCATTCGAAGGCCTTTATAACCAACCCTTCTATGAACGTCTCTGTTCAGATCCAAGAATGGAGTAGGAAATATCTACGTATTTTCACTGGACTGATGACAGGACATTGCCGTCTGGGCAACCACATGAGAAGGTAGGTCTGCAACAAATATCGGACTGTCGATTCTGCAGCATGAAGGACGAGTCTGCAGAGCACATTCTATGTAACTGCTCCGCTCTGGAAAGAACCAGGTTCCAGATCTTCGGATTTACCCGACTAGAGCCTACCGACTTTAAACAAGTCTCACCCAATTCAACCATGACCTTTATCAAAAGGTGTGGGCTTGTACAGTGAACTATAAGTTAGTCATGAGCCACAATAGACCCGTCTGGGTCGCAGTGGAAGGCGATGAGATCATTCCACACATTTTCAACCTAACCTAACTACTTTCAAAAGTCGGCAAAAGTAAAAATCTGAGGATAATCAAAGAATCCATATTTACCCATCCCTCCCCAAGATCCCCAAGTCACCCAAAAGTAACCTGTAAATACGCCATTTAAATTTATACATCAAATATTTTATTTCTTTATTGTTAAATATATTTTTTTGGTGCCTTACAATTCATTTTTTAGAAATTTAACTCACCTCAAATCAAGATTTAATTGATTTTTGAATAAGAGTTGATGGTTTCCATATATTGAAACGAAAACTAAAAATATTGTTACACATTTGAACGTTTTTTTAACAACAAAACACCTTC